ACTATAATGTAAGTCTGTCGGGTCCAGATATCCGGATCTGAAAAAGGCCGGATAGCCGAAAATTTTAGGTCGGATATCGGATCCGGATCTTGATATCCGAAGATTCCAACTATTCTACATCTTCTATAGTGAGGTCCGGCTGTAGTTTTTACAATTATTAATGATATTGGCGGCCCAAAAGTCGTCCGGCGCAAAAGTCGCGGCGCAAAAGTCCCCCAGCGCAAAAGTTATATTATTTTTCTTTTCTCTCCTTTTTTATCCTTCTTTCTCTTCATCTTGATTTTGTTTGTGGGGAGTATCCAAATTAGTTTGCGGATTATCCCTGTTCGAACAAATGACGGATCCCTATCAGAAAAAATTAGAGGATTTATAATCCTCTTACAAAAATAATTACATATCATCCATTTTTTTCCTACTCATATTTGAAAACAAATGTAAAACTAAATATAGCATTCGAAATATTAAATTTTATATTGTGTAAAAGAAAACTCCAATTTATAAGAATAGAGGATGGAACAGTAATTTTAGACACTAATTATTTTCATTGCTTAACCTCGGTCAAAATTTTATATTTGACGTCAAATTTACACTATTAAATTACTTTAGTAGTCTTTCATGCCTATTTCATTTATTTTCCTGTTACCTTCATTTTTTCTCGCCTATTTCTTTAGTTTGAGTTTTTTAGGTTGATTATGTTTTCTATATTTTTTCTGTAATACCCCCAATAATTCTACGATATCCCTCGATATTTGATAAAATAAATTAATTTTTCATGCCTAAACAATAAAGTTTAAATCAAATTACTTTGCCCGTCACATGCTCGTAGATTATCAAAATTAATGCTTTTTATGACTAATGTTAGAGTCATGGTAAACAGATTATAATCCGTTACGAGACCAAAAATTAGAGGGTTTAAAGAACCCTCTTACAAAAATATAATCCTCATTTCATAACTTTGTGCTTAGTTTAGAACTTAAATGAAACTTATTAGTATTGCCAAACATTAAATATTATATTGTGTAAAAAATAAATGAAAATTTAGCGAAAAGAGCAATTTTGTGATAAATTCCTTTTTTTATTTTTTAGTTACGAAATGTCAAAATGATCAAATAAACAATATTTAACTCTCAAAATTACAAAAGAGAAATAATTAAAATAGAATTTAGACTATAAGAAATTTAGACAATTTCCTTCTGTAAATTTAGTAAGAATAATTTTTTCCCTGAAATTATATTTGCAGCAGAGTTGCGTCGTAATTGAAAATTTTTTTTCGTAATCGTAATTCGTAATTCGTAATTTAAAAAATTTTTTCGTAATCGTAATTCGTAATTCGTAATTTTAAAAAAATTTTCGTAATCGTAATTCGTAATTCGTAATTAAAAAATTTTTTCGTAATCGTAATTCGTAATTCGTAACTGAAAAAATGCCGTAATTCGTAATCGTAATTCGTAATTTTTTAAAAATATTTAAATTAATTTTAAAAATCAAATATCTATTAATAATTGCTGTTTCTCCCATTAATCTCTCCATGTCTTCTTATTTCTCTGATATTATTCAAATCCCAATTAATTCCCTGATATCCCTCTTAATCCTAATAATCCTCCGATATCTCTTTAATCAATCATGAGGAATCATCGTCCCAGATTAAGTTTGATATCATGTCAAATCATTCTCACTTAATCCCGAGCCAACACTCTTATATTTTCAGCGCCGCAGGCGAAAAATTTTCAGAAAATTCATGACTAGATTAAAAATTTTTAAGTTTTTTTCAATTTTAAGATATTAAAAATATAAATTTACAAACCTAAAATCAAAATCAAATTTAAAAACGTTTATTTTTGAAAAAATAGGTTGTCTAAATTTTATTTCCCACACTTGGATTCGAACCAAACACCACAAAATATTAAATGAGTGAAGCTTGACTTTTAACCCACTCAACCACTGATAAACACAACTAAGGAGAGAGAAAAAATAAATATTTCTTCTCCTTTTTATTCTAAAATTTTTTGGCAAAATTATTTTCGTAATTCGTAATTTTTGCCTATATTTTCGTAATCGTAATTCGTAATTCGTAATTTAAAAAAAATTTTCGTAATCGTAATTCGTAATTCGTAACTGAAAAAACGCCGTAATTCGTAATTCGTAATCGTAATTCGTAATTACGACGCAACCCTGATTTGCAGACTCTCGAAAAAATATCAGAACATTTCCCACTCAACTTTTTATTTTTAGCGGAAGTCAACGTTTGCCAGCAGCCTTTAAGTTCCGGAACAGGAAGTTCAACACTACAGCGTTGGTATTTCTATGCACCAGCAGGCCAATGTCAAACATTCACTTATCGGGGACTTCAAGGAAATGAGAACAATTTCTTGTCGAGAATGGATTGTGAACAAATCTGTCAAGGCAAATTTTGATTAAAGACTGGACCAAATGAGATCTCAAGCGAGGAGCTCGATCAAAAAACGAGACAGATTTTTTGAGACTCGAGACCTCGAGAATCGGGATTTCCAAGAATCGAGACTTTTTCGAAAATCGAGACTTTTTTCGAGATCTCGATCTCGATTCACGTTGATACACGCAGTCTGGTCTCTAATTTTACTCATTTTCTAATAAAAATCTAAAAAATTTCAGCGAATCCCTGTGCTGTAGGCGTCCCTCTAAGAGATAGTCAAGGGAATGTCGGTTATTGCTCATCAGAACAGTCAAAAATTTGTCCAGTAAATTATTATTGCCATATTGGGGGTGATGCAACAACAAGCCTTTGCTGCCCAGAAATTGGTAAAATTAAAAAAGATAGGCACTCTTTTATTGCCGCCCCACATTTTATTTTTTTCTCCTTTTTTCATTTTTCCAAAAAAGTTATGTCGTGAGTCGTATCAAAAGGAAGAATAGGGTAATTTTGTGAAATTATTCAAGGACAATATGACTTAACAACTAGGGATGAGGGTACCATTATTTCGATTTACCATAAAATCTATCGAAATAGACAATGGATGGGGGGGAGATACCTGAAACCCGGTTTTTTTCGAGCAGACTTTTTTCTTAAGCCGGCTCATCTCTGGAATAGACTACTGACCTAAAATTATAATACACATCCCTAATACTGGACAGCATGAATTTATTAATTTAATCTTTTACCTGTATATTAATTTGACCTAAGTGTACATTTTGGAGAAAGGAGAAATAAAGGAAGTAAAATAAATGTGGGCCGATAATTAGAGAGTAGCAAAAAATTAATAAATAAAAATTTAAAATGAAGCATTTAATTTAAACAAATTTTGAAAAAAATATTTACAAGCCAAAAGCGTTATTTAAATACCCAACTAGGTATATCTGGCCTTCCTTCTGGTCCTTCATAAATATAGGGAATTCTTTTAATCAAATCTTCGGGTTCATAACTTGGATGGTTTAAAGAACATTTAAGTGCATTCTGTAATTAAAAATATATTTAGGGAATGAGATTTTCCGGAAAAAACTTTACTGAATAAAAGGTTTCCGGTTACTCGTAAATTTTCATAGAACGCATAAACTAGACTAGTGCCTGCATAATTTTAAGACAAAACTGTATTTGTTCTATTTCACTTATCCCTATTTATATGTACAACATATGAAATTTAATATTGTTAGATACTATTATAAATGGCTTTTTTGTCAAACATAATTACCTCAAGATTAAGGAGTTTTTTAAATATTTTTGTAAGAGGGTTCATTTAACCCTCTAATATGATGGCATATATGTATATTTAACAGTTTCGTCAGGTTTCATTTCGTTAACATATAGTTTTATCACCCCTTCATGGTAAGGATAAACCTTTCCGACAATTTTGACTTTATTTATTTTTCTTGCCTGAAAATTGCTTCTAATCCATAGGGATACAGCGATTTTTCTACCTTCAATAATAGGGCATGCTGCATGTAGAGCATTTTGTTCCTTCTTTCCGTTAGAATTGGAATTTAGCCATAACAATAGATCTCCTTGAATTTTGAATTTTTTAAATTTTAATTTTAAGCTGTAGTCAATTGAAAGCGGTTAGCTGAGTGCCAGCCGGCTTTTATCAATTTTGTTGCCTGATCCAATACGAATTTTAAAAGACCTCCTTCGAAAGACCTCGATAAGCGGTGACATTTCTCCAATTTGATGGATCAAATGCGAGTACTTGTTGAAGAGTTTTAGACCGATGTTGAAGTTTTAGCCGTAAAAAACACCTAGTAATTTGGCTTATCAAGCTATTACTTTTTAATTGATGATCAGAATTGATGTATCCCATTAGGAAAAAGACCACGATTGAGGGCTTTTGAAAGACAAGAATCATTAGTGTTGGTTCAAGCACAAAAAAGTTATTGCCGATCAAATTCAGCTGACACTCAACTTTTCCGTATTTAAATTCATTACAGTACCCCTTTCCGGTCCAACAGTTAGATTCAAATTTGGAAATGTTGTAAAACTTCCTTTCGCAGTCTTTACAATTAGCAGAGCTGTAGCTAATCTATTTCCAAAGTAGGCAAACCAGCCATCGTCGTATTCTACTGGCATGGGTTCCAAGTGGTCAAAGTGAGGGGCATAATGTCCAAATTGTTGATAACTTAGAATCTATAAAAATGTAAAATCTTCGCGTGGCAATTTAACCCTCTAATTTTTTGTGGGTTTTGCAAAGAGTTCTTTTCGTAATCAACTAGTTTCGTTGGTAAAATGCCATTTTTAATGAACTACAGGAATTAAAAATAAAAAAATGATGGGCGCATACCGGAGTGTACCAGTTCCGCTTTTTAAATTGAGTGTATAGGTATGTATGTACCCGTGTCTAAAATTGTCTTTTCTCTAAAGTTTTTTACAACATATAAAATTTTGTATTTATGCATGCTAATAAATGTTCCATTCACACTAAGAAATTGGTTATCGTTATCTGTACTTAAATATTTTTGTAAGAGGGTTTTTATAACCCTCTAATATTTGTTCGTATTTCTGCCCAATGGCTGTTAAAAATGAGGTCGTCGTTTAACTAGAAATTTAAGCTCATTAAACAAACCAAAAAATCCTCGCCCATGGCTGGGTTTAAAGCCAAAGTCTTCCTCAATTTTCGATACAATGGACGAATTTCCTTCTCTTCATGGCTCAGCCATAGTCCCTCAGCTTGACGTCCTCTATGTCCACTACTGTAAACAAGCCCCTCAACACCCATAGATTCTACATTACTAAAATTGTTTTTAATTTTTTAGTCAAAAATAATTTTTAGAATTAAAAATGAAAAAATTACGTTATAAGTCACATAATTGGATTTGGACAATTTATCATTCGAATGAACTCAACAAGCCTCTGTATTTACACAAAAACGGAATTCCAGATAAAATTCAGTTGATAATAACTTAGTTCAGAATCATTGAATTAATCTAATTTCGGGAACATTCGACTCAGCTCGATGAGCTCTTCCAAAAGACATGATTATCCGAATTGGAATAAGGGGCTTAAAGGAATCTTACGTTAAAATAAGCACCTGGAATTGTCCAATTTTTCTTCAATTTTGTTTAAATGATTTTCTCCCAAAAAATCTGGAAGACGAATTATAGGTGGATAGCGGCTGAGAACTTCTACAAATAATTGTTCATAGCCCAATTGATGAATAAAGCAATTTAAGTTTCTTTGAGTTGAGGGAATGCTAGGAGCAAGGCAGTGTTTTAGCATTGAACGGGGCCATGTATTTCTAATATCCTGAAATAACTTTTATATTTTTTTCTGGAGGAATTCATTTTTAAAAGAAAAGTTATAATTTCCGGAAGTATATTTATAGACATTTACGAACAAATATGTATAACGAATACATTGTCATATAGCTATTTAATTTTTAAAGCCATGGGTACCTCGTTTTGAAGAAAATGTCCCATCTCAATTTTTGACATTCTTATATTCTTTATCAATAAGCATAAAAATAATAGTTGAAAAAATAACAACATTACTTCCGCTCGTCTTTTAGAGCCAATAGAAATTTTTATTTAAACTTACATACATGAGCGATTTTGTCCCAACCCGAAAGTTGGGATAGCAAAATTCTTTTATTACTTGTTTGCTTATTTTACTTGTCTTTTGTCTCTTTTGAGTAATTTTCCTTTTTAGGAAACTAATTTCTATTATTTAATATTAAGTAAATTGATCGGGATAATTATTTATTTTCCTACTAGTTTTTTTGGAAAACTATTAGGTAAATATTCTGAAAATTCTGAAAAAAAATTCTGAAAATTGTTCTGAAATTTTTTTTGTTAAGATCAGAAATTTTTGAAAATAATATAAAATTCTGAAAATCAGAAGAATCAGAAATTTTGAAAAATAATTCCGATAAAAATCAGAAGATGGTTAAAAATTCTGATATTTACTTCTGATTTTTCTAAAAATTCTGAAAATTTTTAGGAGGAAATCCATGCCTACAACCTTGCAATCCCGGCCAAGGCTTTTACCAATTAGCCCGGTGGTTTTGGGATGCTGCTGCTGGATGTTGTCGTCAATTTACTTACAAAGGACAAAAAGCAAATCAAAATAATTTTGTTAGTTTGGAGGAATGCAATAATGCCTGTTATGGTAATTCTGAGAAATTATTCTGAAAAATATTCTGAAAAATTCTGGTAAAATCAGAAGATAATTCTAAAATTTATTTTGATGTTTCAAAAAATTCTGAAATAATCAGATTTCAGAAAAAACAAGAATTTCTTAAATCAGAATTCTGAAAAAATCAGAATTTCAAAAACAGAATTCTGAAAAACCAGAACTTCATAGATCAAAATTTTTGCCTAATCAGAATTTTTAAAAATTCTGAAAAAAATTCTGATTTACTTAATAGTAAATTTCCTATTATAGCCCCTCCTAACCCTTGTCGACAACCAATCCAGCTTCCATTAGTTCCCTGCCAGCCAGGACCAGAAGCATGTGAAGGCAGAAGTGATCTTTACTGTCACATTGGTAAATTTCTTTTCGTAATCAACTAGTTTCGTTGGTAAAATGCCATTTTTAATGAACTACAGGAATTAAAAATAAAAAAATGATGGGCGCATACCGGAGTGTACCAGTTCCGCTTTTTAAATTGAGTGTATAGGTATGTATGTACCCGTGTCTAAAATTGTCTTTTCTCTAAAGTTTTTTACAACATATAAAATTTTGTATTTATGCATGCTAATAAATGTTCCATTCACACTAAGAAATTGGTTATCGTTATCTGTACTTAAATATTTTTGTAAGAGGGTTTTTATAACCCTCTAATATTTGTTCGTATTTCTGCCCAATGGCTGTTAAAAATGAGGTCGTCGTTTAACTAGAAATTTAAGCTCATTAAACAAACCAAAAAATCCTCGCCCATGGCTGGGTTTAAAGCCAAAGTCTTCCTCAATTTTCGATACAATGGACGAATTTCCTTCTCTTCATGGCTCAGCCATAGTCCCTCAGCTTGACGTCCTCTATGTCCACTACTGTAAACAAGCCCCTCAACACCCATAGATTCTACATTACTAAAATTGTTTTTAATTTTTTAGTCAAAAATAATTTTTAGAATTAAAAATGAAAAAATTACGTTATAAGTCACATAATTGGATTTGGACAATTTATCATTCGAATGAACTCAACAAGCCTCTGTATTTACACAAAAACGGAATTCCAGATAAAATTCAGTTGATAATAACTTAGTTCAGAATCATTGAATTAATCTAATTTCGGGAACATTCGACTCAGCTCGATGAGCTCTTCCAAAAGACATGATTATCCGAATTGGAATAAGGGGCTTAAAGGAATCTTACGTTAAAATAAGCACCTGGAATTGTCCAATTTTTCTTCAATTTTGTTTAAATGATTTTCTCCCAAAAAATCTGGAAGACGAATTATAGGTGGATAGCGGCTGAGAACTTCTACAAATAATTGTTCATAGCCCAATTGATGAATAAAGCAATTTAAGTTTCTTTGAGTTGAGGGAATGCTAGGAGCAAGGCAGTGTTTTAGCATTGAACGGGGCCATGTATTTCTAATATCCTGAAATAACTTTTATATTTTTTTCTGGAGGAATTCATTTTTAAAAGAAAAGTTATAATTTCCGGAAGTATATTTATAGACATTTACGAACAAATATGTATAACGAATACATTGTCATATAGCTATTTAATTTTTAAAGCCATGGGTACCTCGTTTTGAAGAAAATGTCCCATCTCAATTTTTGACATTCTTATATTCTTTATCAATAAGCATAAAAATAATAGTTGAAAAAATAACAACATTACTTCCGCTCGTCTTTTAGAGCCAATAGAAATTTTTATTTAAACTTACATACATGAGCGATTTTGTCCCAACCCGAAAGTTGGGATAGCAAAATTCTTTTATTACTTGTTTGCTTATTTTACTTGTCTTTTGTCTCTTTTGAGTAATTTTCCTTTTTAGGAAACTAATTTCTATTATTTAATATTAAGTAAATTGATCGGGATAATTATTTATTTTCCTACTAGTTTTTTTGGAAAACTATTAGGTAAATATTCTGAAAATTCTGAAAAAAAATTCTGAAAATTGTTCTGAAATTTTTTTTGTTAAGATCAGAAATTTTTGAAAATAATATAAAATTCTGAAAATCAGAAGAATCAGAAATTTTGAAAAATAATTCCGATAAAAATCAGAAGATGGTTAAAAATTCTGATATTTACTTCTGATTTTTCTAAAAATTCTGAAAATTTTTAGGAGGAAATCCATGCCTACAACCTTGCAATCCCGGCCAAGGCTTTTACCAATTAGCCCGGTGGTTTTGGGATGCTGCTGCTGGATGTTGTCGTCAATTTACTTACAAAGGACAAAAAGCAAATCAAAATAATTTTGTTAGTTTGGAGGAATGCAATAATGCCTGTTATGGTAATTCTGAGAAATTATTCTGAAAAATATTCTGAAAAATTCTGGTAAAATCAGAAGATAATTCTAAAATTTATTTTGATGTTTCAAAAAATTCTGAAATAATCAGATTTCAGAAAAAACAAGAATTTCTTAAATCAGAATTCTGAAAAAATCAGAATTTCAAAAACAGAATTCTGAAAAACCAGAACTTCATAGATCAAAATTTTTGCCTAATCAGAATTTTTAAAAATTCTGAAAAAAATTCTGATTTACTTAATAGTAAATTTCCTATTATAGCCCCTCCTAACCCTTGTCGACAACCAATCCAGCTTCCATTAGTTCCCTGCCAGCCAGGACCAGAAGCATGTGAAGGCAGAAGTGATCTTTACTGTCACATTGGTAAATTTAATTAAATTAAAAAATAATTTTTTTATAAAAATGTTCTCAAACAATGAGTAATTTTATTCATTTTTTTCGGTCGCTTTCTGGGGTTAATTTTTTTGTGTGTACTTTTTATGTCAATATTAATAAGTCAGTCTCCGAAAAAAATTAAATAAAAATGTAAACAACAAATTGGGTAATTTGAAGTTGCTACTACATACATATAATTGGAAAGATTAATTTTGGGATTCAAATAAAACAAGAAAAATCCCTCTGGAATTAGGTGAAATTTATTACGTAAGACCTCGTTTCGAATTTTACTGACGTAAGAAAGGAATTGTCGATTGAATTGAATCCGTGTCGCTTGAATGGAACCTACTGTCGATTGAATTGAGAGGGCGGTGGGAAGGAATGACGTTATAGAGAGCTTACATGTTTGAGTAAAAGCATGACGGTTAATTAAAGGTTAAGTATGATTAAGTATTATGACGGTCAAGTATATAGGACAAACAGCAGTACCATCTTATATAATATTAATACTATCAATATTGCAGGTAGTACACCAGAAACTACTGTATGCTGTCCTATAGGTTTCAATGTTTATTAAAAAATATTTTAAAATTAATTGTAGATCAAGGAGACAAATGTCAATTGCCTATAGAGCCTGGAGGTGGAGTAAAAAATTTTGAAAAATCAAAATTTTTTCAGAAGGAACAGCCCAATTGCCGCGATTTGGCTATGAGCCCTCAACACAACAATGTCACCAATTTATCTATAGAGGACTTAAGGGGAATCAGAATAATTTTTTAACTCTTGAGGAGTGCCAGTTGGCTTGTCTTCCTAATCCGTGCCCTTCCGGTAAGAAATTTTTAGTAGGAATTTTATAAGCGGTAGGATTATAAGTATTTTCCCACCATCGGTACTTTTCGGTATACATATATCGGTAATTCGCTACAGAATATGTACGCTACGATAATTTTTATTTAACGGTATTTCTTAGTATGGTACGAAAATGAGTCGTCAGAAATATTTGAATCACTTTTTTTTTATTTTTACAACTTATGCAATTTAATATTTTTACATTCTAATAAATTTCACTTCGTTTCTACAAAATTGGAGTAATCATGTTTTGTTTAATTACATATTTTTGACAGAGGGTTTATTAACCTTCTAATTTGATGTTCGTAGTTACGATGTGCTCTGATTGACGAATATTTATTTTTATTTATTTTCTGTTTTTTGCTATTCTAGAGTTGTTTGGACTAACATACATATTTTGTTCTGATTGTTTTGGTTTTTGTTTACTCTACTTTTTTTTGTTCCTTTCTGTTCTGATTTTTTTGTTCCGTCGTCCCCACCCTTTTAATAGGCTACCGTATTTTCTCTAGTAATCCCCCAGGGGGATTATTGTTTCAACCCATCTCTAGAGTGGGGAATTAATAGAGACTGAGGAATTAATGGAGATTGGGAGATTGCTGGAGAAAATACGTTATTTCCTTAGAGCAACGGTCTCTGAAGAAAAAAAAACTGAAAATCTAAGGACTCCTTGTAGAGCTCTAATTATTCACTCCAATCTCTTGTTATTTTTTTGGATAGGCCATTTTTATGTTATTTTTATGGGTACTCAAAATACGAACAAGAAATCTAATTGTGTTCCGAGCCATTTCCATGATGTTTCTATTCTATTCCTGATCCAATAAAATCTCTTCCAAAGCCTGAATTAAGAAATTTACTAATAATTTTTATTAAAAGGAACTCCATTTGTCGGGGCTGATGGGCGTATTCAAAGTTGTGCTGTGAGTACCTCTATGAATACATGCCCAAACAATTACTGGTGCCATGTGGGAGCGAATGCTGCGAGCACTGTTTGCTGTCCAGATGGTAAATAAATGTGATTTTAAATTTTGGCTTAGAGGTCTGAAACATGCTTAAAAGAAAGTGAAGCGAACTTTTTTAAAAATGCTTTAGATATCTCAAATAATCTAAAATAGGGTAGCAACCCGACCCCGAACCCTCTACCCCGACCCCCGACCCGACCCCGAACCCTCTACCGAAACCACGATCCCCGACGCAAATACTCAAACGGACAAACCCCCCCCCCCCCGACTCCGACACTCGCTCCGAAGGGATGGGTCGCTATACTAATCTAAAACATGCTTCGATAGTTTGTTGAATGTTTCAGACTCAAAAAAATTTTTTAAGAATAATGAAGCTTGATTCATACATACACTCTGTAACAAAATGATAGCGCCACCGAGTTTTTATCTATATCTCACCAAATATGTAACGAATCTTTTTCAAATTTTGGTAGAATATATTTAAGGATATTATGTATCAATAATGAAAAGAAAAAGTTTAATCCAATTTTTTAAAAAAATTTTATGATAATAAATTTGATTTTAAAGTGTAACAAAAAGATAGCGCCACTTGTATTTTCGACCTTAAGGGTGGTCCGAAAAATCTGAAAAAATCCCTGTAAACATATCTATTGATATCTATAGAAAATACAAAAGAAACGAAGTTCCAATATAATTCCTTCATTGAGATCTGAAAACCCGAAAATCAACGGAAAACCGGGGGTAGACGTCTTTAAAAAATATTTTCGACCCCTTACAGGTGAAATAAAAATTTTATTTTGGGCTTATTTGAAAGCCCTTGAAATTTGCTACAAGATGGTTTTTATTTCATAATCAAGAAAAAATCCATCTTTGAGAAATATTGAGTTAAGTTTATAAGTTACATTTTCATCAAATTTTGGGGGGCGTTTGAGTGATTTTTATGACCAGAAAGTTTATCACATTATGTCCTAAAGGTGAATTTTTTTTCGGTAAATAAAATTAATACCATCTTGTAGCAAATTTCAAGGGCTTTCAAATAAGCCCAAAATAAAATTTTTATTTCACCTGTAAGGGGTCGAAAATATTTTTTAAAGACGTCTACCCCCGGTTTTCCGTTGATTTTCGGGTTTTCAGATCTCAATGAAGGAATTATATTGGAACTTCGTTTCTTTTGTATTTTCTATAGATATCAATAGATATGTTTACAGGGATTTTTTCAGATTTTTCGGACCACCCTTAAGGTCGAAAATACAAGTGGCGCTATCTTTTTGTTACACTTTAAAATCAAATTTATTATCATAAAATTTTTTTAAAAAATTGGATTAAACTTTTTCTTTTCATTATTGATACATAATATCCTTAAATATATTCTACCAAAATTTGAAAAAGATTCGTTACATATTTGGTGAGATATAGATAAAAACTCGGTGGCGCTATCATTTTGTTACAGAGTGTATACCCCGAAAATGCTTCACATAACCAAAGAGGCACACTAAAATTTAGCTTTAATAAAATGCTTCAATAGGTTCCGTGACTTTTGCGCCGAGAACATTTGCGCCGCGACTTATGCGCCGCGACTTTTGCGCCGCGACTTGTGCGCCGAGCGACTTTTGCGCCGGGGGACTTTTGCGCCGCGACTTTTGCGCCGGGCGACGTTTGCGCCGCGACTTTTGCGCCGGACGACTTTTGCGCCGCCACTATCATTAATAATTATGAAAAACTACAGCGAGACCTCACTACAGAAGATGTAGGATAGTTGGAGATCTTCGGATATCAAGATCCGGATATCAGACCTAAACTTTTCGGCTGTCCGGCCTTTTTCAGATCCGAATATCTGGACCCGACAACCCTACACTATAGTGCACCCTCTTCTGGCAGAAAATCATGCCTGAATAGGGGTAGCAGAACAAATATCCTGATCCGAAAAAGTCAAGTTCTTTGAAGATGACCCCTCTAGGGGGTCGGTTCATTTTTCAATCTTCCTCTAGGGGGTTGGTTTATTAGAGGGGGCTATTGTACTTCCCGAAATATTGTACTTCCTGAAAGTCGTCCAGCTCTGGATTCCATTTTTTAAGGAGTACACTATAATTAGGTCCGACTGAGATATTATTTTTTTTAAATTATGGCGGCGCAAATGTCGCGGCGCATAAGTCGCCCGGCGCAAAAGTCGCGTCGCATAAGTCGCCCGGCGCATAAGTCGCGGCGCAAAAGTCGCGGCGCAAAAGTCGCCCGGCGCATAAGTCGCGGCGCAAAAGTCGCGGCGCAAATGTTCTCGGCGCAAAAGTCGTGATACCCTTCAATAAATATGAAATATATGCACTAAATAACTAGTTGACACTTATTTGTTAATTCGTGTTTAAATAAACCTAAAAAATGACTTTAAAAAATTAGAAGCGTGGTATAATTTAGCTAAAAATTGTGAAGCATTTACCTTTAAAAATTTGATTTTTACATAAAATTATTTTAAAAATAATCCAAAATTCAATTTAAAGCAAATCCAAATCCTTGTCAATTACCAATGTCTACAGGAGAGGGGTTTGCCCAGTTGGAACGTTTTTATTATGATTCAGCTTCAAAAACCTGCAAAAGTTTTTTCTACAAAGGGCTTAAAGGAAATCAAAATAATTTTTTGAATTTAGTAAGTTAAATTAATTAATTTAAAAGACCTTTAAAAAATTTAATTAGAGAGCGTGTCAACTTGCTTGTCTCCCTCTGGACAGTGAGTTTTACGTTTAAATATTTAAAAAGAGCAGTGGTGATAGGTGGGGGGTGTATCATTTCAAGATTTGTCGAATTTTCTTTTTAGGGCGTTCCGCTTTTTAAATCTGTCACCTCAAACAAAAAAAATAAAAAGAGAAAAATATTACATTTAATTTGTTTTTGTTCACTTTCTCTTAATTATCATATTTTACAACATATATTATTTATTATTTTTGGATGATATTAATGTTTCACTATGTCTAAGGCAATTTGATTATCATTCGAATTAGCTTGCGAGATTTTTTTTTGAAAGAGGGGTTATTAACCCTCTAATTTTTGTTTTTCTTCTCACAAACAATTATGATTTGTGTTTTGTTATTTGGACCCAGTCGGTCGAGCTACATAAGAGTGAGATCCGTAAATTTTTTCCTTCCGTAAATTCCTTGAAAATTATTTTTTAATAAATTTATTTTAAGACCCTTGTATTGGTCAACCAGCAAAAAGCGAGAGTGGCCAAGTCTTCTTTTGCTCTGCCACAAATAGAGATACTTGCCCTGTGAATTAATTTATTTTTTGAAAAAATTAAGAAATATTTAAGGTCAATTTTTGGTGCCATCTTGGAACAGTTCCAGAAACTACTGTTTGCTGCCCTGGAGGCAATTTAAATTTCTTAAAATTTGTAGAATTACATATATTTAAATTTTAGCCACAAATCCTTGCTCTGTTCCGTTAGCACCTGGCACAGGAAATGCAGGGCTAGCGAGATGGTTAGAGAATAATTTTTTGTTATTCTGTTTTTTCTGAGACTCAAATGCCTCATTGAGGCTCAGAAAGTCTAATTGAGCCAGTTTCCTTATTTATTAAATTATTTATGTGAAAATACTGTAAAAATTAAGAATAGTCAAACAAAAATAGAGCCTTCTACGCTACTAGAAGGTAGAGTAAAAAAGTTTAATATTCCTGGCAAAAAATTTTTACAAGATATGAAATTTATAGTTTTTACATCTTAATAAGTTTTAAATCATTAAGTACCACTGTATCGGCGCAATAATAGTTTGTTATATTTTTAAAAGGGGGTTCACGTAAACCTCCTAATTTCTGTATTTATCCGGGTTACTTTATGACCTTTGCTTAGATTTTTCTGTCATGAGTAAATACGTGCAATTACTGCTATACTGAATCTTCCTATACCTTAAAAATAAAATAATTAAGGTATTATAATGCCGATGAACGTCAATGTATCTCGTTCCAATACAATGGGAAAAGAGGCAATCAAAACAATTTTTTGACATCTGAAGAGTGCCAAAATATTTGTCCTGGTAAGAATTTAATTAAGAATTTCGCTACTAGGACTCTAAGCAACATTTTACTTCCAAAATTATACTGTAAAAGCGTTAAGGAATTTTTGTAAAAATATCTCTTTCTTTGATCTAAAGACACTAATTAATCAGATATTTAAAGTATCCGGGCGGCTAGTAAAAAACTACCGAAGGATTTTACTGTCTATATTACATATCACTGAAAATCATTTAAAATTGTTTTAATCCGTCGTTTACTTTGCGTAAACCAGTTATTCTTGCCCCTCGATATGTAGCATGGCAACAAGGTATAGCTAATAACTCTGCATGATAAATATCCAATTCCTAATAATAAAATATATATTATGTACTTTTAAATATTTTTTAAAGCTGCACTTTGCCTTCTATCAATAGACAAAGGTTCATGTAGTAGCAGACAGACCAGATATGCCTTCAGTAGAGAAAAGGTTTAAAAATATTAAAGTTTTTAAAATTTAATTTAAAGGGACAATGCATTTCTTTTGAATATTCGGGATGTGGAGGAAATTTAAATAATTTTTTAAATATGCAAGAATGTCAACAAATTTGTTCTAGTGCTAGATTATAATTAAAAATTTTTTTAAATTTTTGTATAAAATGAGAAGGATCAGAATTCATTTTTAGTTCTCACAAATCAGAATAATAAAAATAAAACAGAAGAAAAAATGATAAATAATGCAACATATGCATTTTTACATTTTTACCTATTAATAAGTTTAACAAAACATGCCAATAGTAGCGATTTCGAAGTAGATTTTTTCATTTATTTTTGAAAGAGAGTTGTAATAACTCTCTAATTTTTCTTCATATTTTTCTCTCCGTGTTCAAGGGTTGCATCGTTTCTAAAAATTTTTTTTCGCTGTCGTGATACGTAAATCCTAATTTAAAAAAAAATTCGAAACAAATTTACAACTGCCGTAGTTCGTAATTACGGCTCAACTTTGCTGTGTTAGTTACATACTCGATTTTAATTTGTTTAATACATATGCTGTTAAAAATAAAGTTTGAAATAAAACCTTAATTTCAAGATCCATTAATGGATATCCGTCAAAAATATTTTTTTCCTTTTTTAAATAGACAAAGGAGAATCTACGTAAATATATAATTATTAGCCTTAAATTAGTTTTTTTAAATTTAAAGTCTAAAAATAAAAAAAAAATAAGAGAGCAAAAATCTTTTTTAATTGCATGGTTGGCACGCAATTTTTTGTCTTTAAATAAGTCTTGAAAAATTTTTTTTTATTTCATAATTGAAGCTATTTAAATAGCTATGATGTTCAATTTAAATTTTCGATTTTTTTATAAATTAATTTTGCATAATTTTAATGTTTAAAGCTACTTTAATATTAATTTACTTAATTATTTACAACTGTAAAGCATATAGCTATTTAATTCCTAAGGTCGTGCAGTAGGCGGCGTGGTGTAATGGCTAACACATCAGTTCGCTCCCAGCCGCTGGTTCGCTCCCAGCCGCCGATTAACCTTTTGCACTAGCTAAAGGAGAGAAATAGCTATAGCCCAGCTGCTTTACTCAACTAGGGTTGTCCCAGATATGTACGGATATGCCAGAATATGCTCATAAAATATCCAATCAAGTCCTTTAAAGCTCGGCACAACACAAGAGCGCCATATATGGATTACTGACTTCAGGCTATATCTGCATATGTATAAAACATCCATTAGCATGTTTTGACTATCCCAATAACAGTTATCTTGTCCACAATAATCTTTGCCTGTATAGAAACTAGAGATCGGAACGTACCGTATTTTTCGGTATTCCGTATTGGTAGTACGGTACGGAATACGGTACTGTACAAAATTCCGAACTCTAATAGAAACTTTTGAAGGGTGTTTAGACAAACACCAATCCCAAAATTTCGGTTCGGTTTCGGTTAACCGAAGAATTTCGTGAAACTGACAACACTAACAAGTAAAATTAGAAGGGGGTTCTGTACACAAACCCCCCAATCCAAAAATTGTCAAAGAAAACCATATTTTAAATAAATGTTAACCTAAGCAATTTAAACAATTGAAAATTTGCGTTAATATATATTAAGTAGAATGTTTGAAAATTTTTTCCCCAAAAAAATTTTTTGCCTTTTTAATAACAAAACACAATTTTTAAAATTTAAATAATAAATTCAAAAAAGAAAGAATAAAAAAAATAAAAAATTCCACCACCCTCACAATGTTCCAAAGACTCTCTTAATTGACAGAGCGCCTTTTTAGCCTTACTCCCCCAAAGCCTTTTTCCCCCTTTTTTCTTCTTTCCCCCTTTATTTCCTTCCTTTTTTCTTATTTAAATTTATTTTAGAAGAAATTGTTTCTTAAACCTTTTTAAAAATTTATTTATTGGTCTTTTGTCGAACACTTTTTTCTTTCCTTTTTTTTGTTGCCACCCTCAATAAATTACTCAGAAAATTTTTCTAATTCAAAATTTTTTTTAACTTTTAATTTTACTTGAAATTCTGCTTCCCTTTTTAAACTCGCTTCCTTCTCCTATTTCAATTTCATTATGGAAATTTCTATTTCCAAACAATTCTAGTCCTCATCTATTTATGAAACTTCTTCTTATACTCAATTTTATCAATTAGCTTTATTTTGGGGTAATTAAAGCAACCACAAAACAATTTAAATACTTAATTGTTTAAGTAAGATGTTACGGATTTTACATACCTTTTAGGCGTACAGACCAAGACGGCGCATGGCCATAACTCCGCAAAGTCATAAACTTGCTGGAAAATGTCTGGCCCTTGTAAATTTTGGTAAATCTTCGCTCGATGGGAGGCATCATTTAATACTAAATTTTTCAAGGTTCGAAAATCTGGAAGCAAGTTATGGCTTTGAGCTGTTATGGCCACGCGCCGTTTTAGCAGTGCCTACTCTTTAGTAGTAGCAACTTGTTGTCTCGAAATTTACGAATTTTCTTCACTGACAAAATGGCCCAGACATCGAAACATTTAAGTCATTGAAGAAGAGACGTCCAAGATTCTTGTCCTTGGTTTTTAAACTTTTAATGGGGTTTCCGGCCTTGTTTTTGTGTTTAAGTCATGGTCTATGGTCATAAAAAGCTTTACGCGGAACTATTAAATAATTTTTAAATCCAAGTAATCCTCTACAAAGCTTTAAAAATGTTTCATTATTTTAAAAATTCTATTAAAGATTTTGTTTTAGTTAATAATTTAAGCTTTAGCTTTTAATTTTATTCAATAAATCCCTTTCTTTTTACCTATGTCAATTCTATTTAGTCTAAAAACTAAATCCCTTTCATTCTTAACTTCCTTCTTATTTACTTCCCTTCACAAATAATTAAAATCTAAATTATATATTTTATTTTACTTAATATTTTATTTTTCATTAATATTTTACTTTATGTGAGTTCACATAAATTTATTGTTTCTGATTTCTGAGACATTGTTTGGCCCATGAATTTTGAATCCTTTGAAGAAGTAAATATGGATCTAATTTCCATATCAAAAATATCTGGAGTTGAAAATAATTAAACTTATCAGGAGTAAGGTAATTAGATCATCGCAGGCATGTTACAGCCAAACATGTGTGGTCATAATTAGAGGTCGACGCAGGACGAGATTCCGACGGGATCCCGAAATCCCGGATAATTATTTTCGGGATTTTTGAAATTCGGGATTTTTTCGTGATTTATTTCTCGGGATCCCGTCCCGGCCTCGGTTAAGAAAAAATCCCGACTCGGGATCCCGGAAGTGCGATTTTGCCGACCTCTAGCCATAATTCGCAGTTGTCAAGCTGTACTTTTTTCTAATTAACCAATCGAAAAGTCCTGCATGGAATAATAATACGCATCTCTATAGCAGGGGTCTGCGAGTTTCGCCTTTCGTCTTTTTAAAATCCTTTCCCTTAGCCATAGCTTTTAATTAACATAAAAATTATTCAAATCTGTTAATTATCCACAAAGTTATCGCCAAAACAAGGCCTAGGAAATACCATATTAAAATTCCCCCTCACTTAACCACAATTTTCCGTTCATTTCCCCCTCATTTTTAAAATTTCCGCTCATTATTTTTCTCATTATAAAAGCTTTTTTGACTTTAATCTGTCAACGACAACGGATTAAATATTTAAATAAATAGAGAGTTTATTTAGTGCCAAAGTAACGAGAATTATTATTTTTTTAATTTTTTTAATATTACTGCCTAGATTTAAATAAGGGTTTCATCTTTTTATTTATTTATTGCTCATTTCCATTTTTTCTTGTGAGTGAATTAAAAGTCTCGTGAGCGAAATAACGTAACAGGGTATGTGAGGATAATCTCTTCATCTTCATTAATTTATCTAAAAAAATTTTTTTGGCATTTCGTTGGCATTAATTTGGATTTTCAGTTACCTTGACCGATATGTACATACATCGGTAAAGGTAACTTCGTGTATGTATGCTTTGTTAATTACCCTTCAATAACTCCGCTATCATAATTACCGTTTCCAGCAGGATGTTGAAACTATTAATACTCAGGCTAATTATTAGAGCATATGGAGTACTGTTTTTAGTCTAAAGAGTTTCTGATAAAATTTTTAATCCAATCTTACCCCAATAACATACAAACAAAAATTGGGGTGAGCGGAAATCCGCAATCTTCTATCTGGATGATTTGCCCTAACAAAATCCGTTCCCATGGTATTCATTACAATTTAAACCAAATAATAGTTCAAAAATAATTAAAATTGTTCTTCTCTCTAATTTATTATTTTAAGGCTTCATTTCCACCATACATTAATTTTTAAAAAATTTATTTTATTTTATTATCCGTTTGAAAATATTTTTTTTAATTTTTAAATAAACAGCTTAAATATTTTAAAATATATTTTGCAAAAAAAAATTTTTTTACAAAATATAATATTTTCCATTTTTTAAGCTTAATTACCTAGCAATTTGATATTTTTTCATAATTTTTTTATAATTTCTTCCTTGCATAATTGTATCAATTTACAGCTTAAAAACAGAAAATAAGACTTAATTTTATAGAAATTCACAACACAAAAATATTTTTATATATTTTTTTAAATTTACTTCCGTTAAATAAAAAATGGAAAATATGATGAATAATAAAAGCAATATTAAGGTAATTTATTAAAATTTAATTTAAAAACCACAATTATTAAAATCAACGTAATCAGAACTAGGTGGTGTCTTTAACTGTAAATTCTTCAGATATCCGAAAAAGAATTTCGTCTTTTTCGAATAGAATTTCGCAATTTCGTCTAGACGAATAGAGAAGAATACCATGCTCAAATTTTGTTATTTTTTAGCTAGGCAGGCGAGAATTTTGAGAACTTTTGAACGAAATAAATTGCCAAGAGCCAGAGCCTAATTTCGATCTCTCTTGTTAGAATTTAGTCAGTTTTGTTTGCATATCTAGTGCATATTTTGAGAGATTTTGCATATTTTGGTGCATATTTTGGGCTTTTTCAGTGTATATATATGCGCATATTTGGCAATTTTGCACCTTCAAAAAGGCTAATGAAATTGGGATTTTATAGACTAAGTTACCATAAATGTTTTGTTGGATATCGAGATAACATATCTTTGAATCAAAAAAATTACCGAGGATAAATAAGATCAAAATTTGATCAGTTTTCTATATAATCACAAACTTTAATCAGAAATCAAAAAAAATCAGAAAATAAATCAAATGATTTCCCCCTTAAAGAGACAACAAAAACAATCCAAATTTGCCTCCACAAAACAGCCCAATTTACAACAAAATCAGCCCTTTGTAGGGGACATTCCAGCCATTCAAATAACACAAATGACGTTGGATGAAGAAGAAAATTTGAGTTTGAAAGAAGAAAAACAAACAAAATTGTTACTAGAATTAACAGAAAATTCAGAAAAATCAACAAAAACAACAAACACAACAATTAATAGTTGTAGACAACAAGTATTTGATAATAGCCTCCTCAGTGCTAATAAATATCAGGACCGTTCTGCTTTAAATAGGCAGTCTACTGGGACTTTAAATAGGCTAATGTTGGTAGCGCAAGCGTTGGAAACTGAAGTGGATTGGAGGTGAGAGGATTTTAAATATCAGAATTTTTTAAAAATCAGAATTATTAGAAATCAGAATTCTGAGGATCAGAATTTTTAAAATCAGTAATCATAAAAATCAGAATATTATAAAAATCAGAATTTGAAAATCGGAATTTTAAAATCAGAACAGAATTTAAAAATCAGAATTCTCAAAGTCAGAATAGTTCAGAAAACAAAAAATTTTATTATCAGAACTTCTAATAGTATTTATACAACATATAAAATTTACTATTTTTGAATGCTAATAAGTTCCTCTTTCGTACATCGAATTGAAAGATTAATTCCATTCCACACGAAGATTTATTTTTGTCAGGGGGTTTCTAAAACCCTCTAATTTTTTGTTTTGACATTTTATTACTAAAAGCCTTATTCCAGAAAAATATTCAGGAAAATTTAAAAGCAACGAATAATCAGAATTAAGTAAGAATTTGCTGAAGGTTAAACAACTAGCATGCTTAACCTTCAGCCTTTTAGCAAGTATTAATGTTCGCTCATCACGTACAGGTGCTCTACCTAGCGAATGAGTTGTAGAGTCACTGCTTTAACCTCATTTTATCATTTCCTCATAAGCGTTTAAGCGCTACCAACGTTGAAATCCTTGCATATCCTTTAGAATTATCAATACCAGAATTACTAAAATACATACGAATGATTTCTCACAATTCTGTTTCAAAATTTTCAAAATAGGAAATAATTAAGTCAGAATTTTTGGAAAAATCAGAAACGGATTATTAACTCTTATCTACATAATTAATAATTTTAAAAAATCCGATATTATGTATATTTATAAATTAAAATCTTATTAAAATTATTTTAGGCGTCGCAATGATGTTAGTACTTCCCGTGTTGTTTTTACACTGAGGATGGCTAATATTGTAAGCTTATAAAAATTAATTTGAAAAATAAATTTTTTTGAATAGATACTCCTCGTTCTAGTCAATCTACTAATATTCTCAGGTGTAGGAGTATACCATGACAGGAATGGAATTAAAATAACTTTGTTTCTTACACTGGATAAATGGTAATTTTAACAATTTTTTGAAAATTTTCCAAATAAATTTTTTGAAAATTTTGAAAAATTTTTTGAAATTTTTTAATTTTCTGAAATTTTTGAAAATTTTTCAAAAATTTTTTCTAAAAAAATTTTTTTACAAAATATTTCTTTTTTAATTTCAGGAATTATCAACCAATTTATTCTATGGATGAACTGCCTATGACATTTTCTGAAATGAATTTAACGTAAATTTTGATAATTTTAATAGCATTTTGAAATATCTTCCTTTTACAGGGGCCAATTTTTCGCAGCTTTCTTATCCATAGCAATGCTATTGGTTACAGTAATGCTTCAAACAGTTCATTGTTTTCATGTTAAACACTCAAAAATGATTGTGAGTTTAATACGTTATAAATTTCCTTCTAGTAGCAGACATGGTTGTTCGCCGAGGGGGGAGGAAGAGGGCCACTGGGAAAGCGAGCAGCGACACATGGGGGGGGATGGAGACAGAGAAAATTTTCTTTCGTCACGGGAGGGGAACGGGGAAGTAGTAAACTTATAGCAGCAACGGATTTGCTCATTGATACGGATACAGATAATATAAAAATGAACGCGGATATCCAGCTAAATCCGTCTTAAGTATCCGGATACGGATGCCAAAATCAGTATTCGTGAGCAGGTCTTGTAGTAGACATATCCGCGGACATCTCTCTTTATTGTCTTCCGTTATTCGGTTTACTCCTCGGGGTATTCCCCGGGTCCCCAGGTTCTGATCCTCGGGTTTATATTGGCTTCTGATCCTTTATTGTCTCCTTCCCTATAGAAGCGAGAACCCTAGTTCTAGCAGACTTATCTTTGAAATTTTACTTTATATCTCAAACATTTTAGTGTATTCTCTATGCTTTTGGTTGTGTTCCAATAGCTCTATTCATTTTTGGCCTCGAAATGCATTATAGCGCTTGCCCTTGGCTTGACGATTTTTACCAAAGTCAGTTGTTACGTCGTAATTTCAATTCAATGGGAAATTATTTTGACACTCACTGTGGAATAAATGGATGGGCATTGGCTGGGGTAGATAAAAAAAATTTTTTCCCCAAATTCTAAAATTATTTTTTAAAGATATTCTCTCTTCTATCCTGTGGTCTGTTTGTAAGCGATGGTTTAATCTCCGCATTTTTCCGGCATGAAGATTCTCACAATAATAATATGGAAAAACCTGAAGCTGTTTAATTATTATTAGCGAGGCTTGGATTTATAGGCACTAAGACGCGCGAACTGATAATCACTGAGAAATGCCTATCTGACTACTTAATAAATTCTGTGTGTCGAATAGGATTGTTCCCTGACAGGGGGGGGGGGGGGCCACTGGAAAAATTTTAGGGGAGTCGCGGCCACGTTAGATCGGGTTGGGCCTTTTCAAGAAAAGTCTAAACGGAGTACAACTCTAGTGCGAATAAATGAGTAGTTATTTTAAATGAGAAATGTAGTGATGAGTTATGGATCATTAATGGTCAGTAAGTGTGTTTTTAGTGCCTAAATGCCTGGAAATTCAAGCCCTAATTATTTTATTTATATATTTTTTTTATAAAATGAAATTTTGGCCTTATTGGAAAGACACATGACTAGGGCCAATTTTTGGCTCTACTCCAGTTTATGCGTCCAATCGACTTTTATGCGTCCAATGAAAGTTTATGCGTCCAATCAAAGAATAATTGGTATTGCAAAGTATGGGTACGGTTCTAAAATATTTCTTAATGTTCGGGACCTACGCCCACTGGGTCTGGGACCATTACTTGCCCTATCCATCGAAATTTCGGAAAGTTATAGCCAATTTTTAAAAATTTCGGAAAAACAATTATAACTTTCCGAAATTTCGAGGGATAGGGCAAGTAATGGTCCCATACCCAGTGGGCGTAGGTCCTGAACATGAAGAAATATTCTAGAACCGTACCCCTACTTTCCAATACCAAGAAAAATCCAATTATTCTTTGATTGGACGCATAAACTGGAGTAGAGCCCAATTTTTTATATAGGGCTAATTTTTCATTTGAATTTTATCAAAATTTTATATTTATATCATTAAAATAGGTTATTATCAATTTTGTTATAAATTCATCGATTCTTGTAAATATTTGTTTTTATTTGAAAAAAATTGTTTTATGATATTTATTAGTAGGGCTCGGATTTGTATTGAAATATATTTTTTTCCAAAATATATTTTGGCAAGTGAAGCCCAAATATGCCATTAGTTTTTTGATATTATGATTTTGAACGAAGTTACATTTCAGTAGCCAAAACTATAGTTGGGCAAAACGATACTGGTATCGGCCATACCGAGAGCAAGATTGACCGATACTCAAGAACCTGAGACCGATACCATCATTTTGAGCCGATACCGATACCAAGAAACTTTGTTTCTTTGAGTCAGTATCGTTTCTCGCCGAGAAATGGACCGAGAATTTCAGTATCGGGTTCGAGACCGATATTGGAAAAAACCGAGAATCTCGGTATCGTCTTGATCAACTCTAGCCAAAATAAAACCAACGAATTTAAAACTTTATCGATATGAAGATAAACTAAAAACTACATTGTTTAAATAATAGAGAAAGAGTTTAGAACAAGTTTAGCCACCGGGCAGGATTCGAAATAAACTACATAGGTGGTTTTATAATTTCATAACACACTATAACAGTTTTTCAATTCTAATTGTATAAATTTTGCCAACAACCCACACGTTAATACTACACTGAATCACCCATAAACTAGAAAGATAATCTAGTTAAAACTAGTAAAGAACATGTGAAATTGAAATTGTTTTTAAAATTTTATCCCTTTTTGCCTTATTTTTGGCCAATTTTGCCCTATTTTATGTGTGACTGCGCCCTATTTTAATGTTTTGGAAAGGACAACCCTGATGGAAATATATCACTTTAAAGCACTTCACTATCCTTTTGAATTCTTTTTTAATTTTCGTTTTTTAACTTTAACCTCTAATCCGAATCATTAGATTTTGCTCCAGACCCTCCATTACCATTAGAACCTGATGGAGTACCAAAGAGTTGATTCATAAAATTTCGGCGGTATTCTGGATCTAAAAATTAATTTATATTAAGTAGGAAAGGATATTATTTATTCCAAATATTTTTTTTTACCCTAAAGTTGTTATAACCTAGAAGGAATTGTATCTATTTCGGGAAAACTTTGAGTAGGTTCTTGATAACTGATCTACTTTCATCTTAATCATGTGGTTTTCATAATAATTACCTTGGAACTGATGCAGTGGAGCATCTCCAGCTTGATGGTGTGAGGTACCGGCTCCAGCATGAACTTGGTGTAATGGACCAGCTTCGTGATGATGAATATTTTCTCCATAATTTTGAATAGCCTCAAGTAGTTGCGCCAATTGCTGTGCCATTGAAGGATTTATTTGTGAAATTGTTTGTATTTGTTGGTTAAGGTTATCCAAAAGATGTCGAAGACTTTTATGTGTTTGATCCAATAACATTTCATATTGAACTTGTACAGAATTAATATCGGTTAAATTAATTAGATTTTGAATCTCCGTCAGATTCAAACATGAATGAGCAAGTAACACGTTAGCGATATTTCTATTCTCCTCCATTTGTCGCGGATCATTTATCTGTCGAATATCTTGAAATAAATTAGCTATGTTCTCATTGTTTCGTTCGAATACTGTAGCTATTTGCCCTAAATTTTCTCTATTCTGTTGTAAAATTTGTAAACAATTCCGAAGATTTTGCGCTTCATCAGTTAAATTTTGATAGGTTTGTAGATCTAGATGAAACTGATGAATCAGTGTTTCCAAAGATGGGCCTAAAAATAGAATGAGAAACTTGATGAATACATTAAAATTTGGTGAGGACAATTGAGTGTCGAATTTGAGGATTGAGACTATCTCATTGGCGGTACTTCAATTGAAAATACGACGTGAGGATATTACAAATGAGGATAAAAATGAAAAATAAAAAAAGCTTGGAAGACCAATAAAACTTGGAAGATCCCCACTTGAAAGACCAATAAAGAAGTGTATTCAACTCTCAGAAGGTCTCATTATTTGTTTGTTTATTAGTATTTTAATCCTCAATTGTCGTCATTTGTCATATCCTCAAGTGCGTATTCTTAATTGTCGCAACAGAATCTCTTTTAGTATTTAAAATCTCATTTAATATTTGAAAGATGGCTTAATGAGCAATAACAGGAGGTAATAAGCTTGATTCATGCCCGTTGAATAAAAAAAGGTGCAGTTTTGGATAATTTTAAATATCCCCACCTTCTTCTACTTGAACAGCTTTTCCGCGACTTTCTCCCCTTCGTCCTCCTCTTCTCCCACCTCCTCCCCCTGTATTCATACAATTTTTTGTCGACTTAAACTAAGCGAAACAGCATCTTCTGAAGGCCGGACTGATGTGTTGTACATTACGCCACGCCGCCTACTGAGCAGCTTAGGAAACTGAACAGTGTTAGGCGCAGACTAAAAGGCGCAGACTAAAAGGCGCAGCCTTTTAGTAGTCGGGGAGTGAGTCCGAGTCAGTCTAGAGTTAGTTAGTGAGCCAGCCCGGGAGTCAGTCCGAGAGTTAGACCGCAGTCGCCAGTTAGTCAGTCTTAGTCCGTAGTCAACCTATTCTACTCCAGCGCATAGTCTCGCCTATTTCTATTGTATTGTTACCTTCGTGATAAACCTTGTTAGTAGTGATGGTCGGGATTCCCGGTCTCGGTTCCCGAGTCGGGAAATTTCCCGGGTTTTTTGAGCTCTCGGTCTCGGTCTCGGTCTCGGTGTTTTAGTCTCGGAAAACGAGACTAAATTTACACCCCTAATGATGGAAATTTTTTAAATTTTACTCGTACCTCGCGTACTTTAACATTTATTTTTTAAGGAAAAGGGAAAGAGATATTTATATTTTTTCTCAAAATTTATTTTATTGGTCGATGGTTGAGTGGTTAGTGTGTCCAACTTCAATCACTTAGTTATTTTGTTAGGTCTGGGTTCGAATCCATGGGTGGTTTTTAAACTTTATTTTCATTTAAAATTTTTAAATTTATTTTTTTCATTATTATAAACTTTAAAAAACATTAAAAATTTTAATTTAGTCACGAATTTTCCATTTTCTGTGCCTGAGGCGCAAAAATGGAAGATTTTTGGCTTAAGGATCGTCCAAAATTCTCAGAATTTTCGCCTGCGGCGCGAAAAATGGAAAAATCTGGTTTAAGGGCCTCCAAAATTTTCAAAATTTTGCCTCCGGCGGTGAAAAAAGTAATAAATCTGTCCATTGTACTTCCAAAATGCTCGAAATTTTCGCCTACGGCGCAAAAAACGTCGCAAGAAATTTTTTATTTATTTTATTTATATAAAAAATCATCCAACAAAGGGGAAATCCTCTTACATGTTGGTAGCAAATAAAAAAGGGACTTGGGAAAAATTTCGGAAAACGAACAGAGCGAAAATGGGTCAAATCATATGTCATTCGAAAGAGCTCGTCGAGTTGAGTCGAATGGTGAAAAAATTTTCGTGCGGACTCATAGAGGGGCTGAGATATAGGCCCCCGAAAATCGAAAAACCATAGGGGGGACCAAGCACTATTTTGGGGTGAAAAATTCGAAAATGCAAATAATAGCTCATTCGAAAGAGCTCGTCGAGCTGAGTCGAATGACACCAAAATCAACTCGAAATCTTAATTCTGAGCCGAGATAGAGGCTCAAAATGATCAACTTAAACCTATGGGGCGTAGACGAGGCGCTTGTGCAAAACCCCGCGCTTCGCGCGGGGTTTTGCGGCACGCGCCTCGCGGGGAGTCTACGGGCGATGGGTTCTGGGCTCGTAACTTAATCCTATTCCAATTATCGCCGTAATGGGTTATCTGGCTTCCTCCGTAGCAGGAAAAACCTCGACGGATACCAAAGGTAAGGAGCTAAAACAAACGATCATAACTTTGTCAAATCAAGTCAGATTTCGTTGATTTTGGTGTCATTCGACTCAGCTCGACGAGCTCTTTCGAATGAGCTATTATTTGCATTTTCGAATTTTTCACCCCAAAAAAGTGCTTGGTCTTCCCTATGGTTTTTCGATTTTCGGGGGCCTATATCTTAGCCCCTCTATGAGTCCGCACGAAAATTTTTTCACCATTCGACTCAACTCGACGAGCTCTTTCGAATGACATATAATTTGACCTATTTCGGATCTGTTCGTTTTCCGAAATTATACCGGGACTTGTTCATGCCATCAGGGTATATCAAGTGATATCCCTCCCAATCTCTTGGTCTCGACTCTCGGTCTCGACTCTCGGTCTCGGGTCGGGACTCGGTCTCGGGGTCGATTCCCGGTCTCGGTCTCGACTCTCGACTCTCGGGTTTTTTTAACTCCCGACCATCACTACTTGTTAGTGAGCTTGTTAGTTAGTCTTTCTGTTAGTATATGACACACCGCAAGTCGATACATAA